TGCCATGTAGCTGACAAAGAAAGACACACTGGAACTTTACTGGTAGACCACAGCTTAGTGGTGATACAAAGATTGACAGAAATGGGTTAATTTAAGATGTAAGAGCTAGCTAGAGTCACTGACCAAACAGTGTTGTAATTAATGTAGTTTCTGTGTGATTATTAGGGTGTAGGCAACTGGGAAGAAAAGATTAGTCTCCTTCTACAACTAAGAGTGAAAAAAATTCAACAGAATTTCCAAATTTGAAAAATAGGAGCAATACCTCACATTCTGCTACTCCACCTTTGCTTTTGAAGGTGACTCGGGGTGCCTGTAAGCCTGAAGGGTGCTACTATGGAGGTTGTCTACAACCATGGTCAGAACTGAGGACTCTGCATAAACCTGCATCCTGTGTCCTAGCTTGTAGGTGTAATGTAGTTCTACACACCTAAAACAAGCCAGTTCACTCCCAAGCTTCACTGAGCAAGCATTCCTTGTCCTCCCATCCTCCAAGGCTTTGTCCTAAAATATTTCCCTTGCATAGCTTTTGTAGATCTTTTCCTTGTACATCTGTCACTCAAGGTCCCTAGAGTGACTTCCACACTTTAATTCTTCCTCAGCATTCACACTGCTTCTAGTGCAAGCATGAACTTTTCCCTCTATAAGGATCAAAATCTGGTCCAAGAGCTGCCTAACTGGAGTAGCCTAAACTTTCATTTGTATTGTGTGTGTGTGTGAATGAGAGAGAGAGAGAGACAGAGAGAGAGAGAGACAGAGAGAGACAGAGAGAGAGAGAGACAGAGAGAGAGACAGAGACAGAGACAGAGAGAGAGACAGAAAGAAACAGAGAGACAGAGAGACAAAGACACACAAAGAGAGATTGGACATTTAAGTGCAGTGCCCTTAGGAACCAGAAGAGGGTGTCCTTTGAATCCTTTCTATCTAGACTCACAGTTGTAAGCAACAAGGGTCCTGGAAACCAAACACATGTCTTATGCAAGAGCAGTGCTCTTGACCTCTGAGCCACCTCGCCAGGCGCTGGAGCAGCATTCTTTCTGCAGCAGTATCTTTCATTGCGACTTCCCAGGACTCTGAAGAGGGAACCCAAAATCATGCCACTTCCCCTGACCTCAACGTAATTTTCTCCTCCATCCTTTTTTCTGTGGTATCTCACAGTTGTTCAGTTGCTTTCAAATCCTGCCTTTATTTGACATAGCTGATTTTTGATGTAGTTTCATTTGGACTTTCGCCTTTGAAATTGGTTTAAACTGCCAAATAGACACTGATGTTATTCTTGATTGACCAACAGAAAAATGGAAGCATGAGTCTTGCAAAGGTCAAGGCAATAATGAACTCTGAGCCTTCCTGGGCATATCCCACTGCTTCTGACAGAGCCTCGGAGAGAGAAATATTTTGAGGAGAGGACCTTTTGTGGCAATTGGAGTTTTCAGAGCTGATTCTGGTCTTTTCTCTGTACTTTCTGGCCCCTGCCTGACAGTAAGTATGACTGCGGGTAGAATACTTTACCCTCTGATCTGCGGCTTCCATGCCATGGATGCACTGAGGTAAAATGATCTCTAGGTGCCTTCTAATTCTGAAAAGAATAAAGTATGGTTTATTTAAAAACCAGTCATTCCGTTGTGAGTAAACTCGGTACCCTTTGAGGTGCTGAGCCGATGAAGGACATAACGAGCAAAGGACACTGTTTCTTAGTTACTCTCTGGTTCCTAAGCAGGTGGTTAGAATGAGAGGCAGGGGCCTTGATGGTGAAGAGGGGATATAAAACCCTGAAACTGTCATAAAGAATTCCGTGCCCAGTAAAAGCAAAGGCAGATGTTCACATAAAGTTTTTGCTGTTTGTATTTTTTGTGGGGGGACTTTTTGGTATGAAGTTTATTAGCAAGGCATGGCAGCATCTGCTCACCGATGGTGTCGCACAAAGGCAGCTTACACACTGTTTACGGGGCTAGAATTATTTTTGTTAATGATTTTCATGGGAGAAGATGAAATGCAATGTGCACCAGCTGTAACTGTGTTTATCATGCAGCTGCCTTAGAGAGAACACACACACACACACATCCCATAGATAGATTATCTTGATTATCAAAGAGTACAGAAGCTGGAGTAACCCCAGATATCAGGAAGGTGAAAAGGGAGACAATGATGGGGACCTCTAAAAAAGAGAATAGAGGGATACAGGTTTCTTCAGAGAAAAATGGAAAAAGAAGCCTTTGATTTGGAAGGGAGAGAGATAAATGACACTAAGTATGTCTGAAAAAGCCATAGGGAGTCATATTGTTTTATGTTTATTTAAAATTGTATGTAATGCATATAAATGTGTGTATACACATATATAT